TGGCGAGCCCACCTCAAAGTAACACATGAGGGCTGAGGAGGTAGCTCAGTGTGAGGCACTGGGTTTAATCCTCTGTGCTACCCTCCTGTCCACACACACACTGAAGAGCATTGTATTGAAGAAAAGGATGACAAGTAAATTAATATTGAAGAAATCACAGTACTCAGCTGTAAAGATTAAAAAACAATGTAAAATTGGTAATTTCCAAGAAAAATATCAAAGTTGACTCTTTGGAAATGGAAAACAGATTTCTAGCCATTAAAAACATGAGTAAGTAGTGAAGATATCCTCACCAAAATACAAAACCAGAGACTTGGAAGAGCCAGATAGTCTTTGGCCAAGGTCTATCAAATCTCCACACAGTGGAAGTGCCTGTTTTATTCACATTGTTCAGGAAGTTAATTTTTTATATATCAAGAGTATACATTGTTGTGGAGACTATCATAGGAGGCTTATAATTTTATCTCACATATGAATAGATGTGAAAATTCAGAATAAAATGTAGCAAACATAAATGTTTTTATAAATCCTGATTGGAGTTAGAGATGTAGTCCTATGGTGGAGCATGTGCTTAGTATGTGTGAGGCCCTGGCTTCAATCCCCAGCACAAAACAAGAAAATGGGATCATGTAAAAATTATCCGGAGTATAAATGTGAGTCAACATGAAAACAATCCGACGGTTTAAATTATAGATTAAAGGAAAAAAAAAATGGATCGCTCAGAGGCTGCAGATAAAGCACCCATTAAAATGTCATAGCTGGCAAGGTACTCCAGTGGTAGAGCAGGTACTCGGCATGCAGAGGCCCTAGGTTGAATCCCCACCTCTTCTCCCCTGAAGATAAGTAACATAATAAAAACCTCTTTACAGATTTGGGATAGGAATACTTCCTTAACCTACTGAGGATTTCCATCAGAAATGTGTGACTTACACTATTTAACAGTGATGCTTAAAAATGACATAAGGATTGGAAAGGAAGAAATACAACTAATTGTAAACATTGTGATTGTCTACACAGAAAATCCAGTTGAAGCCAGAAACAGGCTGTATATTAAAATATTTCAGCAAAATGTTTAGATTCAAGATTAATGTGAGAAAGTTTTTGTGTTTGTATAGAATAAAGTCAATAGGAAATATAATTTCTGTTAACTCACAGAAATCACTGATAGCTGCAAGAATTAGTATGTCTTTGAATTTACCTAATAAGTTATATGGAGGCCTTTCCAGAGAAAGTTTTTGCTTTTTTTATGGTGTTGGGGTTGGAACCCAGGGCCTCACGCATGGTAAGCATGCACTCTGCTGCGGAGGTGCAATTGCAGCCCCTTTAGAGAAAGCTTTAAAAATGACTGAAAAAGAAAAGTAGACCCAAATAAGTGCACAGAGGTAGCTCATTCCAAGTTTAGGAAACAATGTTGTAAAGATATAAATTTCTCAAATTAGTGTCTGCTGCAGATGCCGTTTAGATCTCAGCAAGCTGTGGGAACTTCATAATTGGAAACTAAAATTCATAAGAGAGGTTGAAGGACCAAGAATAGCCAAGACAGTTTTGATTAGTAATAAAGTGGTAGATTCTTGTAGTCTATAACAAGGTTTAAAATTGTGTGGTACTGAGGTAGGCAGGCAGCTGTGGATCAGAGGAGAAAGCCTGGAGAGAGACCAATGTGCAAGGCAGCTTGCTGAAGGAGAGGTGGTGTCTCCTGTGTGCAGGTAGAGGGTGAGCAGTTCAGTAAGGGGCATTGGACGTTGGCCACCCAGATAGAAGATGCAACTAGAATCAGGTTCTAGACTTCTCAAATCAAGTACAAGCGGATGGGAGACTACAAGTAAAGAGTAATGCTTTAAAACTTGAAGAAAATAATGAAAAAATTATGAACAAGAACAGTAGGGCAGTTGTTCCTAAATAATTCACACATGCAATTATATAAGGAATGATTGATAAGTTTAAATACATTTGAAAAATTAGGACCATCTAGTAATCAAGGAAATGCAAGTTAGAATACAAGGAGATGCCGCCTCATGCTGGCTGTGATTGTTATAATAAAAAACATCATGGGCTGGGTGTGGTAGTGCACACTTTATAGTCCTAGGGCTTGGGAAGAAGGAATGAAGTACCAATGCCGGTAGTGGTTGCGTTAGAGCCAGAAATGGAGAAATGGAGAATTGCTGTTTCCTCATGAGGTAATGAAAATGTTCAGAAATTAAAATCTGCTCATAATGTGATGATTGTAGTTCAGATCTGCAAATATACTCAAAATCGTTGAAGTGGCTGAATTGTATCGTATGTGAGATATATCTCAATAAAGCTGTTAAAAATATCAAGAACTGCCGGGTGTGGTAGCGCACACCTGTAATCCCAGCACTCAGGAGGCTGAGGCAGAAGGATCGCTGCGAGTTCGAGATCAGCCTGGGCTACATAGTGAGTTCCAGGTCAGTCTCAGCTACATAGTGAGACTCTGTCTCAAAAAACAAAACAAAACAAAAAATCAAGAACTTTTTCTAGGGTAAGACATGCCATAAAACATATTAAAGAAAACCCACAGACTAAAATGTTCAAAGGCTGAGTATCAGAATCTAATAAAAACTTTTAAACATTAATAAGTATTAGAATAACACCCTAGTAGTCAGTGACCAAGGGAATTCTCTTATTTTTTTTTTTGCTATGCTGTGGATTGAGCCTAGGGCCTTATGCATGCGAGTCAAGTGCTCATCTGCTGAGATGCACCCTCAGCCTTTTATATTTTTTTATTTTGAGACAGGCTTTCACTAAGTTGCCAAGGCTGGCCTGGAACTTGTGATCCTCATGCCTGGAACTTGTGATCCTCCTGAGTAGCTGGGATTATAGCTGGGATTCCCTGGCCAGGCAGTTATTTATTTATTTAGTTTTGTTTTTTTTACAGGGTAGGAAAAAATTTATTGAGTGAAAGAAAGCTTCTGTCTAAGACAGAAGGGGGACCAGAAAGTGGCTTACCCCCCTTTTTTTCTTTTTTCAGGCAGTTTATTTTTGAATGAATGTGAATGGCTGATGTAAAGTGAAATGATGTTTTATTCCAGGGAGATGCTGTTTAAAATAACAGGCACCATTTTGCATCTATCGTGTTGGCCCAGATCAGTATATATTAGAGGATGGCATGCTGGCTCCCTCATGGGGTATGTAGGGCCACCTCCTTGCTGAGCAGCCTGACGGAGTCAGATCAGGCTGAAAAAGAGCCCTGCTAATAGGACTCTTCAGTGTAAGTCACCTGGAGAGCAGTTGCATGTCACATGTCTACCAATGACATCCTGGGCTAGATAATATGGGTCCTAAGAGAGAGATCTCAGTGAAAAAGCATCAGCTAACTACAATGTATTATTCCTCCCAAATCCTCGGGTAAGATGCTAGCAATCACACAGAGCAGGAACGGTACAGTAGGCATGCTGCTGGCCAGTGTGAGGATCGGCTGTCCTCCTAGGAGAGGGAAAAATGTTTCCTACCCCAGAGGGCTCTTGTAAAAGACAAAGGCGCGCAAAACGCAGCTGGCTGGTTACTGCTAGTTCTTAGGGGCTGCTGATGCATCCTTTTGTCCCGGAATTTAAAAGCTGAGACAGACTTCTTAAGTTGCTTTTTGTTACTGCTGGTTGTATGCTCATACTTATCACACCTGCTCATGTGAAGTCAGCTGCTGTTCTAGGGGCTGGGAGTGGAGCCCTGAACAAGAAGGACACACACACACACACACACACACACACACACACACACACACATGCAACAGCTCATTGCTGTTGTGGAGCTCATGAATGATGGTCACAGATAGCACATGAGTAGGAACAATAGTTCTCTTGACTGATTGTAGCCAACCTGGAAGAAATGGAGAGACACTGAGAGACTGGGTGCGTAGTCAGGAAGGCCTTCTCCTAGGAGCCAAGTAGATGCCTGCGGTGTAAAAGAGAAGCCTGGAGAAATTTTTAGGAAAAGCATCCCAGCCTGAAGTGAAAGCCTTCAGATAGGTCATTTTCAAAAATTACAAGAGTCAGAAATTTTTTGGGGAGTACTGGGAACCGAACTCAGGACCTTGGGTTTTTGAGGCAGGAAGCAGTGCCACTTAGCTAAATTCCCGGCCCTTAAGTTCTTAAGAATAAATGAAAGAGTGCAAACTTAACGTTTTGAATATAGAAACCATTGGTGAGATGAATGAGAAGCCAAATAAATGGAAAAGAAGCCAAGGTTGGTGATATAGAAGAGCGGTAAGATCCCCAGCCTGATCTCTGCCTAAGTACGGTCCCTGTCATTGTCCTAGCAGATCCTGAGAAACTGCAAGGCCTGTATGGCACAGCTGAGTGGAAGAAGGGGAGGCGGTGTGGTTAGAAACGTTGGCCGTGCTGGGTCATGATAATAACCCCTGAGGTCGCGAGACCCCGTTGCTATCCCTATCCACCTGTGGCCTCTGGGACCCTTCTGCAGCTGACTTTTAAGCAGGGAGGAGGGATAAACCCTGTCAGTGTACCTGCGCCAGGTGCAGGTGCACAGGGGCATGGGTAGGGACCAGGTCAGGAGGTTGGTAAGAGTTCAGCTTTTCAGTGTCGGAGATGATGACATCCTTGGTTTATTTATGCACTTGCAACCTACTTAAACATTTTCTCAAAGGATATGGAAGTAGCAGAACTGAGAATATTTAGAAGATTCAAACTGAAATAATATATCTTTCAAAATCCAAACATTTTGAGGTAATGACAGTTAACATGGAGTGTTTTTTTTCCTTCTAGCCTTTCAAACCTATTTATGTATCTGTGTATGTGTTTGTCTCTCTATTGTGCTGGGGATTGAACCCAGGCCCCTCTGCTTGCTAAGCATGTTCTCAATTAACTACTTGCTACACCTTCAGCCCTTTGAAAGGAATTTATTGATCAGACACTTCAGTTTAACAATTAGTAACTCTGTAAGCCCCAGCACCATCAAACGAAACGAAGTAAGAATCCTAGCTTCCCTTTTGGCAGGTCATGCTGAGTCTTGTGCTCCATTTCCAGGTGGAGCTGATCAGAATAATGTTCAGCATCAACCCCCTGGAGAACCTGAAGCTGTACATCAGCAGCCGGCCACCTCTGGTGGTCTTCATGATCAGTGTCAGCGCTATGGCCATCGCCTTCCTGACCCTGGGCTATTTCTTCAAAATCAAGGAGATTAAGTCACCAGAAATGGCAGAGGTGCGTATTCTCCAGCTTTTCTGCTCAGGCTGGCTAGACCTTGTAGAGGGGAAACATTTTTGGTTTTCGATACACCTTCATTTCATTGTAAGTTTTTTTTTTGTTTTGTTTTGTTTTTCTGTTGTGACTTCTTGCTCCTGGTGAAAAAGACCAGTTTTTATGTCTTCATCTCCCTGTGATGTACTTTGTTAGGAAATACGAAGATTATTATCTGATTTAAATAATGTTACCATTTTCAGCAATTAAATAGATGCATTTTGGAGAGTATATTTATAAAACGATTCATGGCAAGAAGCTAGAGAACTCACTTCTTTGATATTCATACTGAGTTAATTGTTGCTGTGTTTTGTTTTCTTGAGGATTGAACTCAGGACCTTGCACTTGTGAGGCAGATGGGGGCGCCACTGAGCTAAATCCCTGGCCCATTGCTGTTTTTGAAAACTGCACTTTTTTTGGGGGGGGGTGGCTTTGATCTTGTGATCCTCCTTCCTTAGCTAGGCCACAAGTGTGCACTAGCACACCTGGCAAAAGTAACTGAACATGTGATATTTCAAATTCATGTGTATCATCGAGTTTTATCAGCTGTACTGATGGTATTTTTTAAAGCATGGTTTTATTTGCAAATATATTTACTTTTTTAAGATAGGAAAACATTTATAGATTTGTCTTCTGGCTTTTACATTTTGGGTAATTAAAGTATTAGGGCATTTTAATTTTTAAGCTAGGTATGTTATAATTGGACACATAATGCAAATATTAAATGTGTATTTTACGTACTAGAAAGCAATAACAAATTTAATTCTTGTTGAGAAGTGGGTGATATATACTCACTTGTAAATTTATATGTTAGAAATTATGGTGAATTAATGATATGGGGAATTGACTGGTAAAGTTTCTCCTAGGACAAGTTAGTTCCCATCTTAATATATTCCTTGAGTGTTTTCTCTTACACTTTTTTTCTTGGGTTGTTTGTTGGTGGGAGTGGGGATGGGGGTTGCGATTGGGCGGGTAGCTGTGTGTGTGTGCGTGTGTGTGTGTGTGTGTGTGTGTGTGTGTGTGTGTGTGCTTGTGCGCATGTAATAAGCCTTATATGGAGAGGAGAGTTCTCTGTCATTGGTATAGTGTCTTTCTTTTGTGCTCTATGACAGTCTAGGTTATAGCTCATCTTGGCAGGAGGGACATTATTCATGTGTGAACTCTAACACAGTTAAAGTAGCAAGTTTGTTATTTCTGTGGTGAAACCCTTCCAGAGAGTTTCTTACCAGGAAGCTAGCTAGCTGGCTTAATTCTCCCCCTTTTCTGACCTGAGCTGAATCCTTAGCTGCACCCATATTAGGGGAGAAACTGCCAGAGCTTAGCAGCATCCTGGCATTTCTTTCTCATAGACCTTGAGTCTGTCTTTAGCATTTGACCAAGGCCACAGGCTAAACGATGTTGCCTGGATAATTAGCCCTTAATAATCAAAATGGTAGTTGGTGTTGCCTTTGGCTGGCTTTTGAACATGGACTTAAGCTTTGTGGGAAAGCTGAGGAACTTCGGTTATGATTAATTTTGTGGTTTTACTCTCAAGTGGTTAACCTAGTGAATTCCTGGTTTGTAGGAAAGGCATTCATGTATGGGAAAAGTTTTAGGCAGTGAGTCAGAATTGTTGCAGAGGGCCAGCGATATAGTTCAGTGGCGTAATGCCTTCCTGGCAAGTGTGAGGTCCTGAGTTTGATTCCCAGTAACAACAACAACAACAACAACAACCACAAAAAAAAAAAAAAAAAAAAAAAAAAAAAAAAAAAAAAAAAAAAAAAAAAAAAGAAAACAATTGTTGCTGATTCTATCTTGAGCTGTGGAACTGGAGAATACCCCTCCTGCCTCCCTTATCTCTCTTGTCTAATTCTAGTCCATGCTGGGTCTCACAGTGTGTTTAATATCTCATGCCAATGTAGGGTCATATTTAGATCATAAATATGGAAGTGATTAGGAAAGTCACATAGTCTGATCAGCTTGAGAGGATGGGGCTGCACTGTGATGTTACGTGAAGGCTGACTGAATCAGTTTCCTGTTGTGAGGCTGCACTGCAGGTCCTGACTGGGTTCCTGCAGGGGAGTCTTTGGGACTGCTCATATATGTTTCTTTATTTTGCTTTCCTGAAGGATTGGAATACTTTTCTGCTGCGATTTAATGACTTGGACTTGTGTGTATCAGAAAATGAAACATTAAAGCATCTCTCAAACGACAGCACAGCTTCAGAGAGCACAGTGACCAGTGGGCAAGCCAGAGCATCCACACAGTCCCCCCAGACCCTGGAGGACTCGGGCCCGGTTAACATCTCAGTTGCAATTACCCTCACCTTGGACCCCCTCAAGCCTTTCGGAGGCTTCTCCCGCAACGTCAGCCATCTGTACTCTACCATTTTGGGGCATCAGGTTGGACTTTCAGGTGAGCCAGTGTTGGCCCCTTTCCTTCCAGAATTCTGAGGCACTAAGACAGACAGAGTATCAGCCATCGAGCTGTTTGCTTTCTGCATGTGTGTGTCTTATGTTGAGCTTGAAATGTGTGAAATCAAGAAGGGACCACTTGGACATTTGCATGTAGTAGAGTGCTCATGAGGTAGTCTCACTGCACTTTTGTAAGACTGGGAAACTGAGGGCTGGGGCGGAGCTTAGGGTGGAGAGTTTGCCTGGTGTGTGAGGCTCCAATTTCTATCCCCAGCAGCACCAAAAAAGGAGAGACGCTGGAAAGCTGCTAGGCCTGTTTCTAGACAACACAGGTTTGAATTACACAGATCCTCTAATACGTGGATTTTGTTTTAGATTTTGTGATAATTAAAAAAAACTTGCAGATAACTTGTAGCCTAGAAATATTTTTAAAAATGAAGAAAAAAGTATGTTGTGAATGCATACAATATGTGCATATGATAATTTACTTTAAAATAATTTACTGCCTTAAAGTATATACAAGTATATTTCAAAAGTTAAGATTTCTCAGAGCGTAACACACATAAATGAACTGTACATGGCACCATTCACAGTGGAGGGAAATGTAAGCAAGTGTAAAGGGGTGCTACAGGATCATAGCTGTGGGAAATTAGCTCTGGTACATGCTGTCCTCCTGCATGCAGTTCAGATCCACCTTCTGCTGTTGCTGCTGGGAGCTCAAGTGTTGTATCAGAACACTAGGAAAATAATCCTTGCCGCATTGCAGTAGAAAGGAATCTCCTGATCCTTTGGCTTTCCCCTGTATGCAATGCCTATAATATGCAAAATGTTTTATTGACTGTTTATCTTATTAAGATTTCTAGCTAACACAAGTTAAATTTTTGGGGAGTCAGAAATTCTACTTGAATTTAAGGCTATACTGTAACCCTATCATTTTCCTGTTGGAATTTTCTGTACTTAACCAGCCGATTACATACTGCCATAGTCAGTGTGTTGTCCGAATGTCCACCCCCGCTTTCCCTACTCTGTTTTGGAGGATGAAATCCAGGGTCTCAAGTGTGGGGGGTATGCCTGTGTGTTTTTTTTTGTTTTGGTACCAGAGATTGAACTCAGGACCTTGTGCTTTTGAGGCAGGCGCAGTGCCACTGAGATAAATCTCCAGCCCTCCTGCATTTTTTTTAATGCTCACCCTTAGCTATGCTAGAAGTAGAAAAACCCTAAGATCTGGTCTCTCCCCCTCAGAATTCTGGTATTCTAGAAAGGACCAAAACAATGAGTTATCATTGAGTTCCTGGAATGAAGGCAATGCTATTTTTAAGTGCTTATTTAATAGGAAAAGTAAACTTATACAGCATGGATCACCGTCCTTTGGCCAGTGCTAAGCCATGACAGATTAAGTGATTCAGTGGATCACTTCCCCTTAGGGAAGCCATGGAGGCTGGAAGCATCTGGAAGGGCTTCATGTGGGAGGCCTTGACCTTGAAAGAGTTCCCTTTGTAAATTTAAAAGAACTTGTGAGTGCCGCTCCTCTGGCTCCAAGCGCCTCCTGGGGGTAAAGCCATCTCCCTAGTGTCACAGTGTGGGGACCTCTGAGGTTTGCACAGAGCAAGCAGTTTGGCCTTGGAACCCCTTGATTGCAGTTGAGGCTTCATCACACATTGGTCCTCTGACCTTTCCCAAGTCTGTTAGACATTCAGGTCCTCAGATTGAACATACGTAAAAGAGGAACCATCCTCTTTGGTCACATCCATGGGGTAGTGGTAAATTCTAAGTGGAGTGATACATTTAAAAGCAGACTGGAAGCTGGGCGTGGTGGCACACACTTGTTATCCTAGCACTTGGGAGGCTGAGGCAGGAGGATCTCTGTGAGTTTGAGACCAGCCTGGGCTACACAGTGAGTTCCAGGTCAGTCTCACTACATAAGTGAGAACCTGTCTCAAAACAAAACAACAACAAAAAAGCAGACTGGAAATGATAAGAGACCTGTACAGGTGTTAAAACCATGGCACTGTTCCCCCACCTAACTGATGCCACCTACTCCTGGTGGTGTCTCTAGGCCCTGGTGGAAAGGCAGCCGGTCCCTCCCTATTGGCCGCTGTGTGGCTCCCCTCAATGTCAAGTGGCCTCATAGCTGGGATCAGGATGTTGTTCCTGAAACCTCACAAAGGTAGGTTTCCAGCCTCATATTTCTGATTCCACATTCCTCATGATTCCCGAGTGGGTTGGAGTTCGAGATTCACTTGAATTCCAGAGAATGATATAGGAACTAAAAACCCGATTTCTCTTTCACAGGCAGGGAAGCTCACGAGGAGATAAACATTACCTTTACCCTGCCCACGGCTTGGAGCTCGGATGACTGTGCTCTTCATGGCCACTGTGAGCAGGTGGTGTTCACAGCCTGCATGACGCTCACGGCCAACCCTGATGTCTTCCCCATCACTGTGTAAGTGTCTCCTGCATCCATCTGCCAGGAGAGTAACTGGGCAGGAAATTCTTAGCATGGCTTGCTTCGTACTACATTCTAGAATGATCTGTGATCAGACCCGCTCAGAGGGTCATCTAGAGTTTAATTTGTAATTCTAAAGGTAGAACTTATGTATATACACTGAAGATAACAGAAAGTAAGTGCTTCCCACCCAGTGGCAAAATTACCCTGCTGTTGTCGAACATACGTTGACTTTCCTCCAAGAGTAGAAGAAATGTGAGATGGAAAAAGGAAATAAGAGCTGTGATCCCTGACCAGAGTGACTTGTAATAAGACTACCTAAACAAAGTTTTTGTTCATCTTCATTTTCCAGAGTTTTTAAGTTGAGTATAAATTGAACCTTGTTTTCCAATACTATTTCTGAAATTGGCTTTTTTTTAAAGTGTTGTCGGTTTGCCTGAAATAATATATGCAAGATACAACCTACTTTGAAAAGTTCTGTGGGGAATCTTTTATTTTTTTTGGTACCAGGGATTGAACTCAGGACCTTGTGCTTGAGAGACAGGTGGCAGCACCATTGAGCTAAACCCTGGCCCTGTGGGGAATCTTTAAAAGAGTTATCCTGGTATTTATCTACTTTAGACCTTTAGAGGTTTGCAGGATGAGTGTGGATAAGTTAAATATTATTTGGAGTTCTGATAACTGACGCAGAAGTTCATACCTAAAGCTTTCATTTGTAAGTAAGACTTTAGATAATTTGAAAAAAGTGGACTAAAAGAAACAGGGCCTTCTTTAGCTACATTATATGTGAGAGGCCTGTGGGTTGAATTCTGAAGGCAAAAGTCCAGCATCCAGACTCTTAAATGTTACACACCTGTATCTTTTTTTCTTTTATGTGTTTTATTTAAAAACAAAAGCAAGCCAGGCATGGTGCACAGCTGTAATCCCAGCACTTGGGAGGCTGAGGCAGGAGGATTGCTGTGAGTTTGAGACCAGCCTGGGCTACGTAGTGAGTTCCAGGTCAGTCTCAACTACATAGTGAGTCCCTGTCTCAAAAAACCAACTCAAATTAAAAGTACAATGGTATTTCTTCCAGAGAAACAGTGTTGTCAGAAACATGGTATTCTCTGTGGCACACGTGTTACTGGGCTGTGTCCATGCCTTGGGGTTACCAGGTGGACGTGTCAGGTTGCCAAGAGATTGTCTTTCTTCCTTTCCTGCAGACAGCCTCCACACTGTGTTCCTGACACGTATAGTAATGCCACGCTGTGGTACAAGATCTTCACAACTGCCCGAGATGCCAACACAAAATATGCGCAAGACTACAATCCTTTCTGGTGTTACAAGGGGGCCATTGGAAAAGTCTATCATGCTTTGAATCCCAAGCTTACAGTTATTGTTCCAGATGTAAGTGAGAACAGTTATGTGTGTGCATGGGTGCGTTTGCACGCAAGCCCTGTTTACCTATTTGGCTTAGCCTCGTCCTTGTCACTATAGATTCTGGCTGGTTTGGGAGACCAGTTGCAGTGGTGGAAGCTTGGAAAACTCACTGCCCTTTTTAAAGCATTAAGAAAAGTCTGGTTCTTTATGTTCTGTTTTCTTTAAGCAGCTGTTATTTCTTAAACTGCTCTAAGGCACACAGATTACAAGGAATGCTTGTCCTGTCTTACTGAGGCAACACAGCCTTGGGTAGCAGAATATTGCTCTGTAAGAATGGTGCCACTTTAAGTTTAGAAAGGTAGAAACAAGTAGTAGAAGAAAGTAACTCTTGACTGGAGAGTGAAGCCTGACTGGGATGTAACTTAGAGAGGGGAGGAGGACGCTCTTCCCTCCCTGGCACTGGTACCCTAACTCAGCTTCCTGCTTAGATGGGAGCCTTTCTCCATAGGTGGCACTGATGAGTCTCAGTGCCCTTCCTTTCTTCCTGTCACTGTGTGGTGGGTGCATTTCTGCTCTTTCAGTCTGGCTGTGTTCCTTTTCTGTGGCTCCTTTTTACAAGGCTGTGAGAGCTGATGGGCCAGGACTCAGGAGTGGCAGTGATGATGGGGCCAGGTTGGGGGCAGTAGGCAGCCAGTTCCAGAAGGCCCTTCCTGCCTTGCCATACACTGTTGGGGCTGCAGGGCATGTGTTGGCGTGCATTCAGAGACTGTCTGCCCCATTGTGTGTAAATGAGAGGGAACCCAGGGCCCATAGTGTGGGGATGGAAGCAAGTCTGGGATCTTGACCTCCCCCCGCAAACTGGCCTGGTGATTGGCTGCATGTGGGAGGCCAGAGAGGAATACATGACTTTGGCACTTTCAGCCAGGCACTTAGAGAAGGGGGGAAATTGCAGAAGGATGGACTGCTCTGAGGTGAGTGATTGGCAGGGAGTTAGGGGTACAAGCGCGGGTGCCAGCCTTCAACTGGAGAGAAAGAGGATGTGTTCAGGGAAGAGCAGGGGTTAAAGGTGAGTCTGTAGAAGGCTTTGTGGGAGAGGATGCTTCGGTGGTGGGCTTGGCAATGTATGGTGCAGAAGCCCACAGGAAGTGGGTCCTTAACAGAGGTCATTGGAAACATCTTGTCTTCACTTAATGAGAGCCAGCTACTGCAGTTTGGAGACAAAGGAGAGACTTCTTGTTCCAGCTTAGACATGAAAGTGATCGAGTCTGGAGGTTGGGAATCCTGTCTTCAGAAGCCCAGCAAGCACTAAAATCATTCAGTAACTAATTTGCAATGTTTCTGTTTTTCTCTATTTTATTTAGGATGACCGTTCATTAATAAATTTGCACCTCATGCACACCAGTTACTTCCTCTTTGTGATGGTGATAACAATGTTTTGCTATGCTGTGATCAAAGGCAGACCCAGCAAACTGCGTCAGAGCAATCCTGAATTTTGCCCTGAGAAGGTGAGTAGTGGATGGTCTTGGTCCTGTGTTTGCTAGGGATCTCTGTATACAAAAATCTCAGTTAATTGTTATTCACCTTTTCCCCAGAGAAATTAATTCCTTACTTGTCACTGGAAACAGTTGTTAGCCTACATTATGGTGGTGGATTTTTCAACCACATACTTGTCTACATACTTGTCTAAAGCAGTTGTTTGAATTTCTCATTGTGGAATGGCTGACCCTGGTTAGGCTGCCTTCCTTCACGTCTTTTAACATGAGATTCCTGTAACAGTGTCGATCCGCGTTTAAAAATCAATTCTGTCTCATCCCTAGAGTACCGCAGATTGCCTACTTCTTGTAGAAGACTTTGGATTTTTGTTTGTTCCTTCCTTGATCCATGCCTTTAGTCTGGCCTGGCCTTTGGGTAGGGTGACCCTGGGGTGAAATCCCCAGGCTTCCTGTGTGACTGGATTGCCTGTCTTGATTTTTTTCTAGGTGGCTTTGGCTGATGCCTAATCCCACACCTCGCCATTTTTGGAGAGAGACTGAAAGAACCATCATCATTGCCTGCTGACCCAAGCCAGGGCCTGGCCACTCCAAACACATGATCTTGCAGTGTTGGGTTATTCCAGCCAAAGACATTTCAAGTGCCTGTAACTGATTTGTACATATTTATAAAAATCTACTCAGAAGTTGGTCCCGTGATGCACGTGCTTTGCACTGGGTGTGGCCAGAACCCTTTGACCTCACCTCTAGACCCATGGACTTGGGAGCTTCCTGAATAACACTAAGAGGGGACTTGAGGGTCTCACATCACAGAGCAGGTCATGTTTTCACCAGGGGCATGACGTGATTCCTCACTGGTGGGGTTGAGGTTTGCTTTGGTTCTTGTTTCATCCCAACATGTACAAGACGTTTGAAGCAGTGTGCACCTTTGATATGGTACTGCATTTCCAAAGCCACCAATCCATTTTGTGGATTTTACATGTTTGTGGCTTAATAATCATAGTAACAACAACAGTACCCTTCATTTTGCTTGCAAGGAAAAACATACCTAAGTCTTTTTTTTTTAATTGAAATAGTCACATTTTAGTACTACTCTAGTTCTCTAGTTAGGACGGACTTGTGCTTTTCTCCTGAGTAAAAAGTTAAATATTTAAAAGTCGCCTAGATGGTAAAGATCTAAGTTTCATTTTCCATGCTGATGGTGAGGAGCTCAGTCTTGTTTGAGTTGGCACAGAATGTTCTTTTTCCCCTCCATTACTCTCCTCTCTATTATAAAAATTAAAGCAGATCCCTCACTCCCAAGGGCCTAGACATTAGGTAAATGGCTCTAGGTCGAAGTGGCAGTTAGCGGCTCTACTTACCAGCACGCACATGGCAGTGTGGAAACAAAGAATGAGGATTTGGTTTTATAGTCATGAAAGGGTTTCTTTCTTTCTTTCTTTTTTTTTTTTGAAAAGGAGATAAAATCTTTTAAAAACAAAAAAACTTTTCCTTTTATTTTTGTGCAACCTACATCTTCAAAAGGCATCTAGTAGCTCTGTAGCATGATGAGGACAAGGCTTGTAAAATCTGAAGGAATGGAATTTGGATTTGCTGTTTATCAAAGACAATCAAAAGAATTTTTCTTAGAATATTTTGATCATCTAACTCAGTCCTTTTGCCCTCTAATCCTTGTTCATTTTTAAAAACTTGTACATTATCTGTTCCAGTCCTTTATTTTTTTTTAGTACTGGGGATTGAATTTAGGATCTTGTGCTTGAAAGGCAGGCGTGTTGCCACTGAGCTAAATCCCCAGCCCTCCAGTCCTTTCTTGTTACTTGTTTTTCTTGACAACTCTTTGCCTTAATAAGTCATTGTCATTAATGATGTCTGTGTTCTTGAGCGAGCTACAGCAGGAGGGCAGTTAAGACCTTGGATGTGACTGCATCCCTGTAGTCTGTCTGCTCTAAATTAAGAGTTCCCACAGTCCGAAATTTGTTGGCCTGGAACATTTTATCCCAGGCATTCTTGAATGGAAAACAATTGTGGGCTTTTATTGAGAATTGTTAAAATAATCACTGTAGTTACTTGATATGTTAGTATCCCACTTTTTCTTCTTAGTACATTTCAAGTGCACTGATCATACTTGTCTAACCAATTTTTGTTTCTTGTTCCTTTTGGTATGATACAATTTGCTTACAATGATGCATGATTAGCTTGTTATTTTAGCTTTTTCTTTAGAGACTTTGAAACCCTTATGAGACAAGATTCAGAAAGCCATTTGGCTTATTATTTAGAAATACCAGTATCCTTAGGACCATCAGATTAAGCTGCTACTGAATTAGTGAAGTCCCAGTGAAGTGGAGTTATAAAGATTCATAATTAGCAGAGTAACAGGCAAAAGACAAGTTAAAAGGAATCAGTTTCACTGGTTTGTTCAATCCAGCTCATTGCAGGTATTAATTGCCTTTGTTTTAATTACAGGGAATGGCTGGAATCTGTAGCCAAGGGAGAAATATTATTAGGCATGAGAATGTGCCAAAACTACCGGGACAGTATGACTTGTCCTGAGGCCAGGACGCACAGGTTAAAACCCAACATTCACTGTAGCAGGTAATTCTCACAGATCTTAAGGGAACATGGAGCTAAGCAGGTATATGAAGGAAGGTGGGGAACAGGGAGGCCACAGCACGCCAGTAAGTGTGGGGTACCTGTTACTGCTGGGCCTCATGTGCGTGCAGGCCCTTTCCACAGCTGTGCCTCCAGAGGGGTGGGTCCGCTGCACACAGGCTTGGCCACAGGCACCTTGGACTAGAGGGCCCATGAAAGGTCAGCAACTTAACTATTAAAATGGTTGTTTCAGATCATATTGATCTCTGTCCTTTTTCCTTTTGTCCTTTCACTGTATGACTTGAATCAGTTTTGATTCTATTTGTAAGTTTCTCGCATCATTAGGAACTTGCCATTTTGGTTGCATTTTCTTCGGCAGTGTGTAGGGATTCAGCATCCTGGTTTTTCAAACCTTCTGCAGGCACTGTGGGATTACGAGGGCCGGCGGATCCATTCCACTTACCTTGCTGCATGATGGTCAGTAGTTGATCTGTTATGGCATTCACTCCCTGATTAATTTCTGTGTTTGGAATATGTGCATATGTGCTTTACAGAATAAAACATCAGGATTTGCTGTGTCTTCTTTTCCACTGTCTGATGGATGGTTGGGTTTTTGTGTATTTCTGTTGGTTTTGTTTTGCAGTACTGGGAATTGAACCCAAAGCCTTCATGCTGTGTCACATCCCCAGCCTTTTTGTATTGTGAGACAGGGTCTCACTAAGTGACTAAGCTACCCAGGTTGGGCTTAGCACTTGGAATCCTACCTTAACCTCCCAGAGTGCTGGGATTATCGGCATGTGGTACCATGCCTTCTGTAAGGAAGAGCGTATGCAGTAAGAATTGACACCTCCTTTTGAAGTGTCACCTGTCCTTAGGGTGAAGCTTGGCAGTGTGTAAGGTTAAGGCAGCCTCACCAGGACACGGGTCTTCTCCCTGCAAGTACAGAACTACTTGTGGTTAATAAGACCAACAAATGCTCATGACCAGACCCACACCCTGCCAGAGGCATAAGTAGGAAGTGCACAGCAGGACAGGGAGCACTGAGTAGGCACAGTGATTTTTTTAAATTTTTTTGTACTAGTGATCGAACTAGGGTCCTTGTGCTTGCGAGGCAGGCACTGGAGCCACTGAGCTAAATCCCTGGTCCAATATGAACATCTCTTGAATTTTGGGGGGAGGTTCCGGGGATTGAACTCGGACCTTGCACTTGCAAGGTAGGTGGCGGCACCACTGAGCCAAATCCCTGGCCCTAGGCCCTGCATTTTAACGCACCTATGTTGTTTGTGGATCCCCAGGTGTCAGCTGCAGGCACCTACCCTGCTGCACTATCTCCAGAGTGCCTGTGTGCACTGGCCATCCTTTGCCCCAACACACAGGGCAGCCACCACAGCTTCTGCCGCTAAAGGGGGATCGTGTTTACAGATGCACATTCCTCCCTTTTCCAGTAGGTAGAGGTGCCTGTCCCTTCCCTCAGCCTGAGTAGGTGCCAGAAGCATGAGGTCAGTCTAAGGCCCAGGTACAGCAAGATGGGACCGCAATGGGCCCTTTGTTCCTCCTCCGGCTCCTCTTCCTCTCTTCCTTGGAATGCTGTGTGCTGGCCACACCCCCATTTGTACCCTTGTTTGTCTGTGGGTGCAAGTCTGTCTCTGTCACTGTGGAGAGTGGGAGCTTGCATTTCCCTCATGTATTACACAGCCTGTGTGAAATCTGACATGATGAGGCTTTCCTGTTAGAGGTTTCACTTTAAAACCATTTCCTTTTCCTGCTGGGCTTTCCCACAGACAGGCTAGAACTTGAAGAACTGAGGAATGAGTGCACTGTGTGGTGCGACAGGTGCATTGTGAGCTTAGTTGCTGCTTCAAAGATTGCCCATTTGTGGAGCCCACCTTCCCACCCCAAACTTCTTCCACTATGCTGGTGGATGATCTTGGAGAGATGAGAGTGGTTTGAAAATTGCAAGAATGGGTGGCAGTTAGTTGTACCACATGCAAAGGAAAGGGCAGGCTTGGTTTTGATTTTGATATTCAGCTTCTTTCCATTGAATGCTTTTGCTCATTCAGTAGTAAATATTTCCTGGGTTTCTCTTCTGTGCTGCTCAGGGTTGCAGGGGCTGGGGATATAGAAGTTCACAGACAAAATGCTCGTCTTCTTGGCCCTTACCTTCTAGGGAGGGTGGCTGCCCAGGAACACATAAGTAGTCTGATGACAGATGTGCTGAGAGGAAGATGACCATTGGTCAGTTGGGGAGGTCACAGGGTACACTGGGAGAGTTGCAGAGAGCTCAGATGGAGGTGTTGCATATGGTCCTGGTACTCAGGGCCCTGGCTCATTGGTGGATGGAAGGAGGGGGAGTCCTACCAGGGCTTGTCCCCCACCCCATGACAAGATCCCGCACACCACAGCAGTGGTGGCCCCGGAACGTGTGTGTGAGAGGCCAGGCAGGGAGCTGGTCTGTTACAGGTTCAAGAAGGACAGAAGTTCTCATCCCTGAAGCACAGCAGTGGTGGGTAGGAGCCTAGGCGCTAACTCCTCCAGGCCCATTGACATTGGGCAGCTAAAGGGGCATCATTTTTCTGTGCCTCTGGAAAACCAAGGCTAAGAGTACCCATTTGAATGAACAAGGATTAAACAGGTTAGTACCGGCATGTGGAACTGCCTGGCACTTACGTATTCAGTATGATGGTGGTGGTTAGTTCAGGTGTTCCAGGGGGTGCCTCTGACGTCTTTTAGGCAATTAGAGAGAACAGCACAGATTATCTCCCTCCATCTCCGGTTGTCACAGGAGTCATGGTGTCTTCATGCCTACGCCATGGTGTCTCAGTCACTCATTGAGTTTATGGGAAACCTCTGTGGAGGATGTTTATGAAGTGTGGTCGAAACATGATGACTTTACGTTTTAAAGAATTTATTACAGTAAGACAGCCGTGAATGCCTCTCAGAATCATCCCATTCCCTTCACACACATTTATCCCACTGTTCTTGCCACTTTCTGAAGCAGTTTTGGAAGTCCTCTTTTCGTGAGGATCTTTAGTTGCACTGTCTGGATGCCTCATTGTCCTGAACTGATTCAAAATGTTTCCCTTTCATAGTCAGTCT